AGAAAAACTGAGCCAGGGGCAAGAGCTTCTTGCTCCTGCTAAAACACCCCACAAAAGTGATTCTTTCCTTTGTTCTCTTCCTTTTCTAGTGAATTACCTCTTGGTAATTCACTAGATTTTCTAGTGAATTTGGGCTCCCTTGGCCTCTGTCCAATCGGACAGCCCCAGGTCTGAGGTGAAGTCCCCAAAGTCCTATGGGGTGTCTTTTGTACCGAATTGGGAGAGAAACTTGTGGGCTTTTTGCCTTTTTAAGCAAAGAATAATTTAGTCACTCCGTCAACAGGGGGCACCAAGACTGTCTGTTCCAGACATGCACAGGACACACACCAAGTGAGGAACAGAAACAGGTTGTGTTCACACTGAGAGCTCAAGTACATATTTGCTGGTAAAACTGTGGGGCTCTCAGCCCTCTCTTTTCCCTCTTCCCTGCTCATGGAAATCTGAGGCAGTCTGTGCCTTGCAAAGTGCCCTCAGAAGCTCCCAGACACAGCTCTGCAAGCTGAAAGACCCTACAGCACAGCAAACACTTGGCTTCTCTCTTCTCACCTTTCCAGGCCTGTCTAAATCCTTCTTCCATAATCCTCGCCACAGCAAGGGCTTCAACTTGTGAAAAATGCCATTCACTTGTGTTAAAATTTCAGAAGTTTAACAGTAATAGAAATAGTAATGAAAATAGTAATAAAAATTAGGACAGTCAGAATTTGGACAATCAAAGTTAGGACAAAAAAGACAGTAAAAAAGCAAAGAATTATGGACACCCAGGTGCTTTGCATTCTGCCACTTTTTGTTATCAATGGATTAACCCTTAAAAGCAATAACCTATTGTATATTCATATATCTCATACATGATTCAAACATTCCTTTCAAACTAAGGGTGTTTCTGCTTAATTTCAGCTTCCCCCCCCCCCATCTTGCAAATCAATCTAGGTTTTCCCAATAAGGAGGCAATAATTCTTCTCTTGGGATCTTGGTGTCTTGTTGCAGTTCTCTATGCAAAGAATTTCTTGATTATCTTTTCCATTCCTTGAACTAGTTACAAAAAGTATCTTCCATCACATAGTTTCTGTTTTAATATTATGCTATAGCTTAATATTTACCACACTACTTAAAGAAGAGTAACACAGCACTGCTTAAAAAATATTAATACAGCATAACTTTCCAACATAACAAATATCGTATTCATTTTAATATTTGCAAAGAGCCAATCATAGAATATGCATTTTTCACAAACCAAAGCCTTAAAGGCTGCAAATCAAAGGCTTCTCAAGGATCCAGCTTTTGGGAGTTTTTTACATCAGTAACAGAAATAAAGGTTGCCTTTTTGGCATGTAATTTTGCTGGTGGGGTTGTACTACACCAGTTTTAGTTTGAGGTACATGATGAGGTTTTAGCAATGCCCTTTGTATCACAAGAATTAGATCAGGTTCAGTAGGCACCAAACATTTCAAGGCACATTCACTCCCAACGACGCTGGCACTGCTGTTAGTGCTGAAATGATGTGAATATAAATTATAACAATCATAATACAGAATCCAAAGTATTTACAATGAGATACAACCCACAGAACAGTCACCAATGGGCATGCAAATTGGATGGATGTAGGGTACTGCAGAATAATTCAAGTTTGGATCTCAGAGCTCCTTCCCAGAGATAAGAATGAGCATCTGTCATCCATCTTCTACCTTGCCAAGTTGAGAATACACAAAAACACTTCAAGCATTGCTCTGCTCACATACACCCATCTTTTCTTCTGAACAACACACTTCTTGTGGCAGCACATATCACAATTGAGACAGCCACAAGTCATACAATTTCAGGGAGCTTCAACCCATACAGAGTAACACCATATCAGATCAGAGGGCTTCAGGCATCATCCCATACAGGGTAACATCACTTCAGAAGACTGCAAGCATCTTTTTGTTCTTCAGCCCAACCCTTTACACCCCTCATGCTCATGCCCTGCCCCTGTGTGCCCTGTGCTCCCTTTGGTGGCTGCTCAGTGCCCTGGGCACTCCATGGCTCACTGCTGCCAGTGCTGCTCACAGCTGTGCCCACTGGGGTGAGGCTGGGCCACAGCCCCACTCCCACTACCACAAACTGTGTGCCTACAGCCTCTAACACATCTAATCACTCTCGTGTTCACAGGGCCACACCTGACAGATAAACACGGGTTTCCTTGCAGATCTCAGCTCCTGACAGTGCTGTAGCTGGAGTCACACAGGAGCAAGACTGGAAATGCAGTCAGAACACCTTCCTGCCAAAGCTTCTCACTTCCTGAGGATGATTTCCTAACCTGCCTTCTTCCCACAAATTTCAGTTTTCCATCTTCATTGATCTGAACCATTTGCTCCAGAAACAAGCAGCTCAGCAGTCACTGCCACCACCTCTGATTGCCTGGGGTGTTCACCAGCACAGGTGGTGGCTCACACCTGCTCCAGTTCCTGTGGATTTTCTGGAAGCCAGGCTGGTCACCACAAGGTGTGAGCAACCAGCACTGCACAATCCAGCAATCTGGCTCCAATTGAAAGAAATGCATAAATTTGGACATGGATGATGCCAGCTCTGGCCCTGGTGTCTCAGGCAAAATGGAAACAGTTCTGCCTCCCACTGCTGAGCTGTCAAAAATTGAGAGGTGGCAAGGTCTCCAAGGAAGGCAGATTCATAACCTGGGAGGGAGGGAAAGAGATTCTCTGTGCAGAAATACTTTTGCAACAGCAAATCTCTCCAATGTGGTTCAGATTCTGCATAACATCCACACAAGTGGCATCTGGCAGCTTCAGACTCTTCCCAACTCTCATTCTGGGAACAGAGTTGCCAGAGAAGCTGGTACTAATTATTTAAAACTGGGACTTGCATATTTCCCATGCCATTCTACTTCTGAAGTGCTGCTCTACTGAGGAGAGGTTTGCAACTGCCAAGACATGAAAGAGTGTTTGTTATTAACACATCACTGTATAATCAGGGGCTTAGCAGGGGGCTGGCCATGCACATGAGTCTGCCTCTGTTGCTGACAGTGTAGATGGAAGTCCCCAGGTATCCCATTAGGTGACAAGTGAGAATGAGTACTGCAGCCAGAACTAAGCAATTTGGCACAATTAGGTAGAGAGATGGCATTTTCTGCTCATAAAGGGCCCAGAATTGGAACAGCATGAGATGTTTCTGATTGAGATTGAGCTGTGCTGGCCAAGCTGAGTGGGTGTCTCACAGAGCAGAGCAGCAGTGGGTGCTGATGTCCAGCACTGAGATCTGCTGGCAGAGCTCAGATGGGGAATGTTGCCCAGTTTCTGAGAACAACACCGAGTGTGTATTTTAATTAGAGCTCCTCTGCTCATCTGCATGGCTCAGCAGAAACTTTGTGAATTTTCCAGGCCTTCATTAGGATCCATCCAAAAGCCTACCTTCAATTTTTCTCTTCTCCTCCCCCAGTGAAGCCACACTGGTAGGAATCACCCACCCCACGTGTTCTGCTGCTGGCTCTGTGCAATGTCACAGGTCTGATTCCATGAACATGGAGTGATGTGTGGCTCTGGAAAGAGTGCCCAGCCCGGATTAAATGAGGCCTGTGAGCAAAGGCAGTCTGATAGCAAGGTATGATGACACACAGTGACTGAGCTGGACACACAAAACCTCAGTAACTGACTCCAGGGTGCTGGGGAAGGCAGAAATAAGGGACAGTATGGTGGGAGTGTTGGAAAGACAGGAGCTAGGAGGGCTGCAAGGACCTGCCATCCAAATTGTGCCCTGGGTCCTGCCCAGTGCTCACTGCCTCCAGCCAGAGATTCCATCCCAGGCACTGCAGACACACATCCTAACAACAACAAAGGAATTCATACTTTGGGAAGGCTCCTCCCCTCCCTGTGTTATGCACTGGCCTAGAGTTTAACTGGCCAAAGCAGCTCACAGGGAATGAGCTCATTTGAACATGGGAACTCAACTCAGTAAGGAGTAAAGACAATTGCTTCAAGTTTGTGAGTTCAGAGCAAGAAAAACAGCTTTCCAGATCTCTTTTGGGAACTAGGAGCTTTGGCTTTCACCCCTCCCTAATGTTGCCTCCCCGTGCCCACCTTCATTTCCTTCCCTCTTGCCTAAGGAGGGTCTGGCAAACCCTAATTTCTCCAAATCAAGGCAAGTTTCAAGTCTGAAAGCAAATTCAGTGAGGTCAAAAGCTCACACAGACAGCTCTGTCAGTTCTGAGTGGCCTGAAAACAGGTGCCACTGTGCAACTCTCCATAGCTCATCTTCCAGCAAGCAAGAATCACATCCTTTGTCTGCTTCCTACAGAAAAAGGGGGTTTTCCACCTTTTCTATTTTTTCCCCACCTTTTCTCTTTTTTTTTCCCCTGAAGGGAACAAGCTCCATTTCCAATAACTGAATACTGATTAAAACCACTGTCCTTCTACCACTCCCACAAGTCTCAAGCAGCTTACACCAAAAAGCTGGCAAGAAAAAGACTTCTTGTACAAGGACTTCATAACACCAGGGAAAATAAAAAAAGGAAAACTGTTGACATTAAATTTCAACTCTTTTCATTCTAAAAAAATCTTTTAAATCTTACCCTTCTCTTCCCATGCTGTTAATAAAAGTATCCCAGTGAAAATTAATTGAGATCAGTTTCAACTCTTTGAAATGACACACAGCAGTGACCCAGAGGCAATCAGCTTGCTATTTCCATAATTAAAACATGTATTTAATCAATACTTTTTATTCAGTCTGAGGTAGCTCATATGAATCCAACAGCCCTGTGTCCCCCTCTGTTACCTCTAACTGGAATTCATGGGGTGGCTCAAGGACAAGCAATAAGGAGCTGGACTTCAGCTCTCAGCCAACAGTTTCACCTCTAATTTTGCTGTTTGAAGCAAATCTAGATCTCCATTGACTTAAAAAATAAATGTTGACCAAGAAATGGGTGTTTAGCTCTTTAACAGGTTCTCTGAGAGAACTTGTCTTTTCATAAACCTCTTGTTTTTGTTGGCAGATTGTAAAATGAATCACACAATTACCTTTGCAGCCTTATTCCAGTGCACTGCCAGAACTGCCCATGGAGGCTGAACACCAGCACTTCACAAAATCAAACTGAGGTGGTTCCTCCTCAGCAGCATCCACTGCATTGATGTGGAAACTGCACCTGCAGGAAAAAAACCCAAACTTTAGTCTTCAGGGCAACAACTGCATCAGCACCAGGTGACAAACTAATCACCCCAATTGTGAATTGTGCCTGAATTCCCCAAGCTATTGCTGTGTCAGATTGCTGCTCACAGCCACACCCTGGGACTAACAATGGGGTCCCCAGCAGTGACAGCGCTCTGGGTCGAGGCTGCCCCATGGGCACATCTAATGGTGATGTTCTGTGACAAGGCTATAAACACCCCTGGTCCCACAGGTGAAGCCCTCATTGCAGCAGGGTTTTGGGGCAGGTGTGTGCTCTGTTGTCTCTGCCTGCTTGGGCTGGAGGGCTGCTTGTAACCATGAGAGCCTCGCAGGCCTCTCCCCCAGGGAGTGTGAAACCAGCGAGATTTCATAAACACAGACAGAGCAAACATCAGCCAGAGAAGCACTGAAGGGGAAATGATTCAATCTGTTCAAATGAAAAAGCTACTGACAAAACCCAAAGACCACCTGAGCAAAGGAAAAGGGGGGTTACACATTAACCAAGCAACTCTGGTGGGCTGAACAAGGTCTGAGAGGAGAAGATGATCCCTCTGTGTAGGGCTGCTATGACACAAAGGTATTTGAGGATCAGAAACTGCTTGAAGGATATGGTAAAGAACAGGGAAGGCAGAAAGGCCTCCAGTTTGTCTTCACAGTTCTGTTCTTAAAGATCATTACATTATTGCTTTAGGCTCACAAACCCAGTCGTGCCCCTGGTCACCATCAGGTGTCAGGTGAGGGGGGTTTTTTCTCACTCTCTCCTTCACCAGCAATTCCAGCCACCATCACCTGCCTGGCCTGCCCATCTTGGCACCCTCAAAGCTCTGAGGAATAATTTCAGAGAAAGAGAATGCATAAATAAATGAGGAAGTTCTTTGTGGCAATGCCAGGAAGAAAGGGAACCTGATGGGCAGCCAATGAGCCATGAGGGCCAGACATGAGTCCATGACATGGCTGCTGACTAAATACCATCCTAAAAAGAAAGAAAAATCAGCAAAAAAGCCTTGCATTAATCTATCTCCTTTACTGCTTGCTTTGTGAAGTCTGAGGAGATGACAATCACTCACAACACAGAACTGAGTAAGGAAATTACCGGCTGCCTCAGCCAACGCGCTGTGGCGTACAGTTGTCAAACTCTTGCAAATTTTGTCAGTCTCTGAGTGAAAGTTCCTGCGATTTCTAAAGAAGCCCAGAAAAACTCCCTTTCATTAAAAAGGGAAACCTCCCTTCTTGCTCACTGAAGCACCTCTGTGATGGATGCACCAGGCAGCAAAGGGCATTCCCAGGCCTGCTCCCAGCACCTGAGATGGCCTCAGGGATGTGGGCAGGCCCCACGAGGCCACCTCACCCTGGGGAATGCATGGAAGAGGCCGAGACCAGGAACTTAACCACAAAAAAACCCAAAAAGTATATTAGAGATTCGAGTTGGTTATTAGCTTCAGACAGTGACTGGGTTGATGGATGTGAGCCTTTAGAGAAACTTTGGTGTGAGGCAGGGCGGAGGAGCTGTGGGACTGCAGGCACTGTGCTGTTGGGGCAGAGTGGAAATACAACACAGACCCATAAAAGTGTTAGGGAACAAAGAAATAACGGCACCGTGAGGAGGAACGCCAGGGAGGGGATGGCGCAGCAGCACCACGTACATAGGAGGTTGCAGGCATGATGCCCAGACAGACATCAACTCAGCTCTGCTGAAGGCCCCAGCACCGGGGCAGTGCTCACCTCTCCATCCCGCGGCCTGGGGGCCCGGTTGGCCCGGCCCAGCCCGTTCGCGGAGGCCTCGGCCCGGCGGTGCCGTGAGGGAGCCTCTGCCCCGCCATCTCCCCTCACGACGCGCCGCCCGCCGCCGCCTACGCTATTCTCGTGCCGAGTTACGCAGGTGACGTAGCGGCATTGCCGGGCCGCACGCAAGTTTCCAGGAGGAGCGCTATTCCCATACCGATTTACGAAGGTGGCGCAACCGCATGGCCAAGCCGCACGCAGGTTGCGCAGGAGGAGCGGCGCGCCAGGATTCCCGAAGGGGTTTACGCCATCGGCCGGCCAGCGGGGGCGGGGCGCTACGGAGGCGGCGTAAGGAGGCCCCCGCCGGCGGCGCCCCGCCTCAGCCGCGGCGGCGGGGGAGGAGGAGCGGCGGCGGAGCGCGCCCGGCGCGATGTGGCAGCGGTCGGTGTGCGTGGGCCTGCTGGCCCTGGCGCTGGGCTACCTGTGCGTGCTGGGCCCCGAGCTGCCCCCCGCGGCCCTGCGGCAGCTCTCGGCCTCGCTGCTGGGGACGCTGCGCCGCGCCCGCTCGCTGGAGGCGCGCACGGTGGCGGCCTGGCAGGCGGCCATCGTCCGCCCCGCGCGCGGCTGGGCGCGCGTCGCCGTCGGGTAGGTGCGGGAGCGCGCGGGGAGCGGGAGCGCGCCCGGGCCGGGGTGCGCGTCCCGCTGTCCGCGTGTGCGGGACCGGGACGTGCGGGACCGGGTGTGCGCAGAGCGGGGTGTGTGGGATGGAGCTGTGCCGCCCAGGTGAGACCTCGCCTGCAGAGCGGCCTCCAGCTCTGGGGACCCCAATGTCAGGATGCTGCTGGAGCCAGTCCAGAGGAGGCCATGGAGATGCTCTGAGGGTGGAGCCCCTCTGCTCTGGAGCCAGGCTGGAGAGCTGGGGGTGCTCACCTGGAGAGGAGCAGGCTCAGGGAGAGCTCAGAGCCCTGCCAGGGCCTGAAGGGGCTCCAGGAGAGCTGGAGAGGGACTGGGGACAAGGGATGGAGGGACAGGACAAGGGGCAGTGGCACTGCCAGAGGACAGGGTTAGGTGAGATTGGGAATGAATTCCTGGCTGTGATGGTGGGGAGGCCCTGGCACAGGTGCCCAGAGCAGCTGTGGCTGCCCCTGGATCCCTGGCAGTGCCCAAGGTGAGGTTGGACAGGACTTGGAGCACCTTGGGCTAGTGGAAGGTGTCCCTGCCCGTGGCAGGGGATGGAGCCAGATGACCTTGAAGGTCCCTTCCAGCCCAAACCATTCCATGATTCCATGAAAAAGAAGCGGATGCGAGTGCAGCACGTCCCACAGTGCTGCTCAGTCAGAGCTGGATGGTGGCCGAGGGGATCAATGACCCAGAACACTCCTGTGGTGGGGATTTAAGCCAGGCTCTGGCCCTATTAGAGCCCTTCTCCAGAAATATCATTCCTAGCTTGATTGTCTGTAAATCAAGTCCATGTACAGTCTGAGGGTTGGGCAGTTGGAGCTGCTGGGCCATCCAGCTCAGGCTGGCAATAAACAGGTACCAGAGAAAGTTATAAAGTGGAGAAAGGAGTGAAGCCTTTCTTTGGAATGCTGACATCCCAAACTGAGTCCAGACACAGCTGGAGAGAGATAAGGAGGGAAGGGACAGGGGAGGCAATGAATGTTGAGCTCAGAGAAATTCAACACCCTTTCTCTTTTTAAGTGGGAAGAGAACAAGGGGAAAGTTCAGGAATGTCACATTGATCTTATATTTAGTGCTTGCCTCACTTTTAAATATATGGAGATGGCAGGTAACTTGACTTTGACTGGAAGATTGATCCTTTGGATGTTGGAAGGGGTTATCCACGTCCATGCCTGTGTGGCTCTGTGTTAGCAGAGGAGCATGACTTACTTTTATCCCCTTGGATCTGTAATGATTCGCTAAAACCGAAATTTGGGGCTAAAATGCTGCTTGAATGTATGGTTTCTTTTCTCTGCAAGGCTAGGGAGTTTCTCTGTCCTTGGTGTAGGAGGTGATGCACATCCAGAGGATTTCTGGGTTGGTTACCTCATGGAATGGAAAGCCTCAGGGTTTTTCATGTCCTTTATTTTGTGTGATGCAGCTTTTTTTTTTGTTGCAGCCCAAATCTGACTCCTGAGAGGTCACTGCTGAGGGAATGCTGAGTGCTGAGCACTCCTCACAGACAGGGAACAGGAACTGGCCCTTGGACTGTTGTGGGGGCAGATGTGGAGAAAGTCAGGGATCCTGCACAGGTTTTATAGATGGTTGGATCCCTGTCAGGGAAATGTGGGGCAGAGGAATGGAAGTGGCACTTGGCAGCTGTGACAGAAGATGCTGAAGTTGCAGCTCTGTGGAGTTGCTGGTGTTATCTCAGGAAGTATTTGCTACACTGAAACCACAGTGAAACAAGGACAAGTGTTTCTAATTTGTCTTCTGGGGTTCTGGTTTGTGCCAGAAAGTCTCCTGTCCTCTGGTCTGTGATTAAATCAATGAGACATGGGGACTGGAAGTTAGACTTTCCAAAAAGCCTGGATCTGCTGACAGGTTCTTATCCCTCCCTTACAATCACAGGATTTTTCTCCTGTTTCCACTGCATGCTGTTTCTGTGAGTTTGGGATGATCCTGTGGAAGCTGCCGTTTTCAAATATTTCAACTGACAAATTGCTCTCTTGACTTTTTGTAAACAGAGCCAGTCTGTGTGGGGAGTTGTGTGTGGGTTGGGTATTATTAGGAATAGATGAAACTCCAGAGGCTGATCTAGCTGACTTAAATGCTTTCAGTTTTGTTTTTAACAGTTTTGAATCACATGCACATTTTAAACCCAAAATACATGGGTATTAGAAGCTTTTAAAAGCTTCTAAGAATTTAAAATGCCACTGTTACTATTCCTGTTCTTTTTAAGCAAGCCCAAGGCAGGAAATGAAGTAGAACCTGTATTGTAACATACTCAACCACCTCTGGACCACACAGCTTTCCTTGTTTTCATTCAGGAGAAAGTTAGAAATCCCTCCCTGAGCACAATAAAAGCCAGTCACACGGAGAAAGCTTTAGGAGAGAACTTCAGGAAATTCCTGTGCCTTTTTTCCCTTTGGCTGGGTGCTCTCCCCCTGCAGAGTCAGGGAGGTGGCCTCCCTGCCCTGAGGTGTGTCTGCTTTTCCCAGGACACCTTTTCTGTCTCCCTGCCAGCGTCAACGCCTGCGTGGACGTGGTTCTGTCTGGGGTGAAGCTGCTGGAGGCTCTGGGCCTGGAGCCCGGCGATGGGAAGAACCACGCAGTCCTGGACTCCAGGCAGGACCTCAAGGAGGCGTTTGCTCACTTCATGGAGAGAGGGGCGGCTGCCGAGCGCTTCTTCAGCGACGGCCAGGCCTTCCAGGCCATCGCCCGCGCCGCCTCGGAGCACCCCGCAGCACAGGTGGGTCTGCACCAGGGAGCCTTGGGGTCCTCTCTCCTGCTGCCTTGTCACTGCTGCCTTGCATTCTTTCTCTAGAGAGCAGATCATTGAGGAAGAAGCTTGTGCTGTAGCTTGAGGTGTGGTTTTTTTCTGGGATTCTGCCCCGCTGCAAATGAGGGGTGGTTAAATGGTCTCTCCCCTGCTGACATTCCCAAACTGAAATGTCAGAGATGTCTCTTGGGAGCCAGATGGGGCTGAGGATGTAAAAGAGGCTGGGAGTGAAGAGTTGCCTGATTTTTAGCTGTGTGGTCTGTTTTCTGTGAGAGAAGCCAGGAGTGGTTTGGGTTGGAAGGGACCTCAGAGCCCATCCAGTGCCACCCCCTGCCATGGGCAGGGACACCTTCCACGAGCCCAGGGACACCTTCCATGAGCCCAGGCTGCTCCAAGCCCTGTCCAACCTCACCTTGAACACTTCCAGGGATCCAGGGACAGCCACAGCTGCTCTGGGCAACCCATGCCAGGGCTTCCCCACCCTCACAGGGAAGAATTTCTCCCCAGTATCCCATCTAACTCTGCCCAATGGCAGTGGAAAGCCATTCCTTGTGTCCTGTCCCTCCATCCCTTGTCCCCAGTCCCTCTCCAGCTCTTCTGGAGCCCCTTCAGGCCCTGGCAGGGCTCTGAGCTCTCCCTGGAACCTTGTCTTGTCCAGGTGAGCACCCCCAGCTCTCCCAGCCTGGCTCCAGAGCAGCCCTTGGATCTTCTCCATGGCCTCCTCTGAGCACCTGTGACCCTCAGGACAACCTATATTTGCTGCTTTTCAAGCTCAAATCAGAGTTGAGCTGGGAAGTTTGACCTTTACTACTGAAGGAACTTCCACAGTTCCTTTCACTTCAAATGGGCACAGGCAGCAGGTTTCACCTCGACCTCAAACTGGAGGAAGAACTGCTGCAGTTTATAAATGATTCCTTGTCAGCCTTGCTAAAAACCCACAGGGAGGTTGCACAGGACTAAGGGCTGTTTATGTGCTGTTTTTACAGTGCTGTCAGTGTTGGGAATGAATTGATTTTTACCTGGCTGTTACCTGAAGGTGAATATTTAGATTAAAAATAAAGAATGCTCAGCTTGTTGAGAGAATTGTAAGATCATTTTGCCTTCAGCCCCAATAACCGTTAGTCACTTGGGTACTGCTGAACATTGTTCTAAAAAGCCAAAATCTCCAGCCTGTGCTGAGGACTAAATGTGTTTAAAGGTCCCAAAGCAAGGGGATGCCCACACCCAGCTCTGTTTGTTTTACAGCTTTACGTGGGAGGAAATGCTGCTCTCATCGGGCAGAAGCTTGCAACAAATCCAGACCTGAAGGTACACACATCTTCCAAACATCTCATGCCACTTGGTTTTGTTCTTTAATTTGCTTGTCTCATGTTATTTCTGTGTAGGTTTTGGGGATCTGGCAGTTATTTTTTAGGTTCTGCTGGTAGAACATATGGTTGGACTTCCTGATTTTTAAAAATTGCATTACTAACTTTTTATAATCAGTTGTGTAGGTGATGCTTAAATTTTGGTAAGGGACGTGGTAAGGGAAACTTGGTTTGTTTTTCCTTATTTTCTAGATCCTCCTGTGTGGCCCAGTTGGTCCCAAACTCCATGAACTGCTGGATGACAATGTGGTTGTGCCACCTGAATCCATGCAGGAAAGAGATGAATTCCATCTTATCTTGGAATATCAAGCAGGTACAATGGAGCAGGTGTTCAGTGGTACCCCTGAACATCACTAAGATTGGTGCACAGCCTGAGGGGTGTCATTCCCAAGCTCCATAAACACTAAAATGCTCCCTGAAAACAGAGATTTAACCACGTGCTGATGAAACTCAGGGTAACCTTCATGTAATGCCTAAAACAGTTCTAAAAGCTAAAATTCTTTTCTTGCTGCTGATGGAACCCATTGAATTTGTGATCTTGCCCAGGAATAAAGCAGTTCACACACCTTTGCTCCACCCCAGGTGAGCAGTGGGGCC